AGAGGACAAATTGGAGGAATAATCCTGAAGCAGATGCGACAGCACTTCATGGCCTTGGACATGGGGGCTGAGGGAGTTGGCTGAGCGGGCCCGTGGTGGCTCTTTCATTCTCATCCGGCCCCACCGGCCCCACAGGGCTGTGCTCCGGGGTCACCAGCCTGAGGGTAGAAGCACTAACGGCTCCTGCTCACCCACTACTGTGGTGTTTGTTCAATATTTATGAGTCTCTTTGGAAACATCTTCTTTAAAACTAATGCCCCTGAAGCAGGATTTTAAGTGCGACTCACTGGCAGGTTACTCTGGAGCCAACCCTCACTGCCTTGACAGCCTGCATATGGGAAGGGCTCCCCACCCAGAGTCATGGGCAGGGGCTGTGGCGCCTCAAAATAGCCGAGCCTGCAAAGATCCCAGAAAGGCAAGAGTCTTTATGAGCTGGTATCTCACATTGGCTCAGTGACAGTTTGGAAAGTCAACATGGGTGAAAATAAAGTAAGGAAGCTGCCATATGTTCCTCAGCAAAAATTGTCCTTGTCGTTAAGGACGGCTCCTATGCAGAATCACACCCGTCCCCTTTGTTTAGACAGTTCCCAGGGGAATTACACTTGATGTCAAGGAGGAGGCTTCTTTGATGACATACTGTTACACCTCTTCTGAGCTGAAAAATAATTGAAGTCAGTCAAGGAACATTTACTTTAAACTCTGGTCTAGGCCCCTGCAGCCAGATCCTCATCCTATCATAATCAACAGGAGCCCCCTAGTGGTCAAAGACAGCCTTGCTTCCAGAAAACTTCATGAAAATTCCATTCCAGGTGCCCGGCTGGATTGCTGGAGAGAATATAATTCTAAAATACAGCTTGTAAAAGCTGATAGGCAAAGCTATACATTAATTGTAATAAAATTAATGCCATTAGCAGTTGGGGCTGACTAAGTATACAATGGGGGGTTAGTCTCATCAGGCACAAAATTTGTTGTCAGAGATACCTTCTATTCCTCACATCAGGTAAGAGGATTTGCTTACTTCCTTCTGGAAGTCTCTGTAGCAAGACACAGTCATGCTCATGTCATTGCCTGATGTGGGCTAGCTCTTCAAGTGCTACGATGTACAACTGTACAAGGTAGGAAAACGCTTGTCTGAGTGGCTGCTTTGTGTCCTTTCCAGAAATTGATACCAAATGCTGGGTGAGAACTGCAGCCCTCCCTCTCCCCAGTCTCTGGCGTTCAGGCCCTCTGAGGGGTAAATAGTGGAGCTGATTGTCCATGAGCCTCCTGATCTTTCCCTAAAACTCAGCTTTCCCTTTTGAATTCAGTGAGAGT